TGATTATTATCCTTAGTAACCTCGTATTGTTCCCCCTGCCAGTGATAAATGCAGTGACAATGAAATGTATTATTTGCATTTTATTTTTTTTATTACCTTAGTGGGAATACCTGTGGTAATTTTTGGTTATAACCAGAAATTAATTAATAATGTTATTGATCCGTATTGATTCTTGAACTAATCTGTGAAATGCTCTGCTCTTTCATTTGAAAAAATACTTGCAAATTAATTTCTTTTCAGTATTAAGAGTTTAGTCTGTATCATTCAGTGCATTTTGGTATATTCATAGTGCATATTCTTACATTACAGTGAGATGTCAGTGGCTAATGATGAGGAACCAGAGGTCTTGATTTTACCACCTCAGGAGCTGCCAGCAAGGCCCCTTGAGTCACTTCATGGTGATCCTGGTGATCCATCACCTGCACCCACAGTTAGTTCTGGGCAGTCCACGCAGGAAAGCAGCCTCACCCTCACAGAAACAGAAACTGCAGACAAGCCCATCTCAGAAGGGGAGGTACTCTTCAGCTATGGACAGATGCTGGCTCCAAGAGGTAACTAGACAAATTTGTCGAAATTAGAATTTGGATTAATTATTTTTTTTTTTTATAAACATCTCATCCAGTCTACTGAAGTTACATTTCATACATCTTCTTACAAAACTGCAAGCATTAGCCTGGTCCTTAACTTGCTGTTTGTGGGTGTCCTGGTTTCTGTGGGACAGAACCCCAGGCCAGCTGTGGTCTGCAGGCCATGAGCAGTTTGGAGGCAGCCAGGTTATCTGACCCAGGTCGGTTACAGGTGTATCCCATCCCATAAACATCATGCTCAGGATGAAGGGGGAATTTTGCTGAGGACAGAAGACATCATCTGCTTGGGCTTCTCCTGGCCCTGCTCCTCTTCCTGAGAATTGCTTTCCTGTTTATTGTGACTGCTATGCCTTTGCTGGGCTGAGTATAACTTTATGCTGGCTTTGGTATTAGTTTTGTTGTTGCATTAAATCTGTTTTCAGTTCCACCCACAGGTCTCCTCTCCTTTTCCTGATTCCCCTTCTTGGCCAAGGAGGGGTCACTGGGTGACAGAGCAACTGCCATAGTTTAGCCTATGGGCTAAACGTAGACAATGGTTTGGCTTTAAGAGACCTCGTTGCTCTTCCTCTTGTCTCTGAACAAAATACTTCTGCTTACTAAAGAAGAAAGATTAAATCTGCTCTTTTGTCATAAGATCAACAAGGAAAATAATTGGAACTGTCTTGCGCAAGTACCATGTGATACTAAGTACTAAGTTTTTATTGAAAGCAAAGTATAAGAGTGATTTTCTTGGAAGCAGAAAATATGTCTTTCTAATACACATCCGGCAG